CCCGGCTGAACTCACACACATGCAGTCTTATACTGCAGGCAAATACAGCAGCAAGCTCATGGCTCCTTCCTCCCCATCATCCAAAGGACAGCACATATGGGAATGTTTCACAGGGTTGAGGGGCTCCAGAGGTGCTGAGCTGTCCTCCACTTTTCGGTGATTCCATCCCTCATTAAGAGCCACATAAAAACTGAACCAAAAACCAAACTGAGAGAAATAAACACAAAGACAAAAGCACAGCTGGAGGAAGAAGGGCTGAGCAGGAGGGGATCAGGCTTTAAAAACAATGGAGCCCTTCAGCTGAGCTGGTTCGAGGCCGTCGGTGAAAGCAAGGAGGAAATACATCACCTTGCGGATCTGGGCTAGCTCCGCTATTCGCTCCCCAAATTCCTGGGCATCTGCCTCATTGCATTGCACCTCCTCGGCCCCTGGCTTCTTCCAGAAGATACCCACCGGCTCCAGCAGCTGCCTGTTCATAAGGTGGGTGAGATCAGGAGTCCAGTGCTGGGAAGTGCCAGTCACCGTGACCTTCCCAGGTTTCTCCAGCCGGATATCCCAGTGGAGGAAGCGCAGGTTGTGCTGCCGGATGAAATCCACTCTGTAGACGTGCTCGTTGGGATGCAGCAGCTTCTCACCATCCTGGGGCCTCCCGTTCTTTTGCTGCAGGCTCTGGAATCGCAGCCTCATGCAGCGGGTGAGCTGGTCGTCACGGATGAAGGGCAGCTCGAGCATCCCTGCCTCCGCTGCCATCACCTCCACTGCTCCCCTGCTATGTTTGGCTCTCCAATAGGACACACAGAGGGAAAAAGCTGCCAAGCCCCCTCTCCATGGTCCAGCGGTGCTAAGCAACCCGGGCCAGTGACGCAGAGCACCCTCCAGGGCTTCCTCTGGGTGTCTCTTTGCAGATTAGGAACTGATGGTGCTACTGTGCATGATAATCTATAGGGAAGGGATGTGTGATGTCAGCCTCCCTGGCAACCTGCCTGACAACCACAGCTCGTTATCCCAAAATGAAGGCATTCAGCCAGGGATGATGATTGTAAAGGTCTTTTCCAACCTGGTTCTATGTGACCCACCAGGTCTGGGTAGCAGGGGCTTTCTCTGAGAGTAGGATAATTCACGTTGGAAGGAGACTCTGGAGGGGTCTGGTCCAACCTGCTGCTCAGAGCAGGACTTCAAGGTTAAATCAGGTTGCTCAGGGCTTTGTGCAGTCCATCTTTGAGTATATCCATGGATGGAGATCCCGCAGCCTCTCTGGCCCCTGTTCTGCTGTCTGACCATGCCCAGTGCTGAAGATAAGCTCCAGCTTGTGCTGTTATATTCTGTCCTCTGACTCTGCATGGCCAGCAAGAGTCTGACTCCATTTTATCCCATGCCCTCTCATTAGGTAGCTCCAGACAGCAGGAAGTGTTCAAGGCCAGGTTGGACACAGGGGCTTGGAGCAACCTGCTCTAGTGGAAGGTGTCCCTGCCCATGGCAGGGGCTTGGAACTGGATGAACTTTCAGGTTTTCTCCTTGCAATTCATCATAAACCCTCAAAGCATCATGCAAAGTGTGAGCAAAAGGCCTAATTCAGAGGTCTCCAACACCACAGCAAATGGAACAGGTCTGGGAGGGACTGGGAGAAATGCAGCTTTTGCCAGAAAACAAGACTTTCTGTAAGAAAGAGGAGGCAGATAAAGAAGAGCCTTTGAGAGTTAAGGGATGGAAAATGAGAAGTCACAAACACCTACAGCCAAAGTGCCAAGGGAGGAAAAGCAATGCTGTTGGCAAACTGAAATAATGAGGTGTCCCAAGGGACCCAGCTTCTGTTTGCTTGGCATTTCCCAAGGCAGGGCTGGAAGTGAATGGTGAGGAGGGAAGAAAATGTGCCTGCTCCCCCTTGGGAGATGTCAATGCAGAGGAACGAGCTAAACAACCCCTTGTACCACAACAGCCACCACTTCCATGATGGGAGGACACCTTACTGCTTATCCAGAAACCAACCACAGCTATCCTGTTCCCATAGAAATTAAAACCTTGAGTTAAATAGAAAACAGGGATGCTGCAACCAACACAAATTCATGAACTTAACGTTCATGATCCCCACAACCACACACAACAGAGACTGGAGGAGGTACCACAGTACATAGAGCAGATGCAAAGGTGTCAGGTGGAGGGACCCGTTTTATCATAGAATTATAGAATATTTAGGGTTGGA